GAAAGGGGCCTTGCGGTGCCCGTTCTGGGCGCCGGGGCCCTCGAGATACGACCCGCGACGGATGCCCAGGTCGGATGGTCTGAGACCCCCGCCCCGCCCGCCTCCCAGCAGAAGAATCGGGGGCCAGGGGAGCCGTCCGCGACCTCCACCCCAAGCCTTCCATTCGGCGGTATCCCCCTTGCCGTGGGAGTCAGGGGCGTCGAAGCGGGGGGGAGGACTAGGATGCAAGAGGAAGGAGAAGCGACACCACCATCACCAGGCGGACCACCTCCAGCGAGGAGGTCCACGGTGCCTTCCCGAGCTGGAGGCGGGAGATGTCTCGAACGGGGTAGGGGCCACGCCACCAGAAGGACCACCCCTGGCTCCTCGCGGTGGTGGTGGTGGTTGTGGGGATGGTGTTCTTTGTTCCTGAGGGGACGGGGGGTGGGAGATCCTGGCCGGGGCAATGAGATCTGCACGATTTCATGACCCCTGCGTCGTCCGCGCACGTGTCCCCTGGCCATGTGATGCGCTAGCCTCCCTCAACGTTACGGGGGTAACATGCTCAGGGTGGATCGCATCGACACACAATCGCTCATTGATCTCCGACAGTGGCCTCATGGCCCGCCCCGCAAGGAAAGGGCGATTTCGCTAAAGGGTGCCCGTCGCTGATATATCGGCGACGTATCGCCGATTCCAGAGCACGTCCCCCTCTTCGTCCCCCCTCTGGTGGGGGTGGGGGTGTATGCAGAAAACGAAGTCCTGGGCAGGCTCAGGAAGCGAACAGTGGAGGACCCCCACCCGAGGACCGTCGAAAAAGCAGCAACAAAAGCGAAGCGGCACGCGGGAAGTCAACTATTACAGGGGATTCGAGGGCAGCCCAAACCGACTCGAGTGAGGTTGTTAGGCGTCTTCTGGAAATCCATGGAGCCAGCCCGTTGCATAACGGTTGCCCGGGGTCGGGGGAAATCAATGTCTCGACCTCCCTCGTCCCTTCAGCCTGGCCACACCGTAGTTCGTGTTGCCGCTTCGGCTCGCGCTGGCTTTTCCATAGCCCAGCTTGTTGTATCGGCCGCGCTTGCTGGCGGGCACGCCGATGCAAAAACTCGGGCTGTGTCCAGAATCACATTGGCTGCGCTTCCAGGCAACAAAGTCCAGGGCTGGCCCCTCCGTTTCCCATCCCCGGCCCTACCCCGTCAGCCTCACTCCCAGGCAGTTGTTTGCATGGGCGCCGGGCCCGAGGCGAGCCTTCAGTGAGGTCCGAAGGGCGGGCTGGCTTCCTCGAGGTGTCCAGCCTACACTTAAGTCGGGCCTGTCTCTCCACATGGGGAATATTCAAAAATAGTTAAATAGTCTGGGGGCCATTTCTAGAGCATTTTTTGTACCAGTTTGAATTATGTGTTGGGTTTTTTATTTTCCGTCCAAAATCCCCCAGTAGGGGGACAGGCCCTACCTAAGCCTACACGTCGGAGCGGCCCCTCGCCTGAGTGGCCCCTGCTGCAATGCTTGCGGGGGGCACAGGGGGGCCACGTCGTCCCCAAGCACGCAGGCCAGTCTTGTCGCACTGCTCAGGAGGTAAAAAACACACAGACACAAGTATTCTTCGACTCCCCAGAAAATATGGGAAAATCTGGGAAGTGGGGGGGAAGGCAACACACTAGAAAATATTTGAAAATACTAGGAATCCTGTTATTTGTGCCTATTTTTCTGTGTGCCCCAGGGCTCCTTCAACTGCGCGCAACGATCATGAAGTCGCGCACCAAGGGTCTGGCTCTTGCCTGGGGCGGCTCGTGCGTGCAGCAGGCGGAGCAGGCATCTGTGGCCCTGTGGCTCAGCAGGGGTTGTTGCTCCCACCGCGCTAAGAGGGCCACATCCTAGAAATACTTTCGAGCGCCCAGAAAAGTGTCGAAACAGTGTCGAGAGAGTGTCGCCTCCCAGGGCCCGACACGTGCAAACCTTCAAGTTTCGGTACTTTCTCGGTGTTCGAAACCCTTTCTGGTGGTCAAGACTAAAGTAGGTTGGAACATGATAAATCAGGGGGAGGATCCAGATCATCCCGAGTGATTTTGTTGGAAGGTCCCAGGGCCGGGCAAGAACCCCGTGGAGCCGAACAAATGCCAAACAATTCCCACCGACTTTTATCTTTGACGGCGAGGGCAGGAGAGAGGCAGGAACAGCACACGCAGCAGCAGAAGCGGATCTGTTCTGTTGTGCCAGGGGCACCCGCAGGGGCGTGCCCAGGCGGTGGGCTTCTGCCACCGTGCAGCGCGCAGGATAGGGATGATGGAGGGCACCTTCTGCTGCCGATGACGATGCCGATGATGATGATGATGATGATGATGATGATGATGATGATGATGATGATGATGATGATGATGATGGTACTGATACTGATACTGATACTGATACTGGTACTGATGATGATGATGGTGATGATGAAGGTGATGGTGATGGTGATGATGATGATGATGCTGATGATGATGATGATGTGATGATGATGATATGATGATGGTGGCGATGCTGATGATGATGATGATGCTGATGCTGATGCTGATGCTGATGCTGATGCTGTGGTGGTGATGATGATGCTGATGATGATGAGGGGGGTGATCATTATGACGATGATGACGATGATGATTGTGGTAGTGATGATAATGGTGGTGCTGATGATAATGATGATTGTGCTGCTGATGATGATGCTGATGATGATGGTGATGATGATGCTGATGCTGATGTTGATGATGATGCTGCTGATGACGATGATGATGACGACCATGATGATGAATTGGATGCGCAGGAGAAGAAGGGGAGGGCTTGGGGGGAAGGGGGATGATGAGTGATCAGTGTGATCAACATCAGCATCATCACTGTTGGCAGCATGAAGGTTATGATGACGAGGGGGCGAGGAGGGGTGAGAAGGACGCGCAAGAGTTGCGCCGCCGAAGGAGGAGGAGGAGAAGGAAGAGGAGGAGGAGGAGGATAAGGAGGAGGAGGAGGAGGAGGAGGAGGGGACAATCGGGGGGGGAGGAGGAGAACGATGAGGATAAGGCAAAGGAGGAACAACGAGAAAAAGAGGTGGATGAGGAGGAGAAGGGTACCCAGAAGGAGAGGGGGGAGCAACTGGTGGGGGGACGAGCAGGAAGTGATAAGGGGGAGGGAGATGGAGGAGCAGCAGGGTTAGCTGCCTGAGGAGTCCTCTTGTTCCTGACGGTGACCCTGCTCCACTCGGCCATGATCTACGCCAAGATGGGCTTCAATGTTACGAGGCCCTTCGGGGCGCCGGCCTCCCCCCGTGCCCCCTCCGAGCACTCTTCCCCGCCGCTCCCCATCCCCATTCGGCGCCTCGAGAAGTCATGCCGCAGGCGCTGGGCACTTTAGTCCGCAGCTAGGGCCCGCCCCTGGGCCGCCGAGACGTCGAGACGCGGTTCCGAGTCATGAGCTGGCCCTGGCCTCGGATTGGACCGTGTTTGCGCGGAGCCAATGAAAAAGACGGAGGAAGGGAGCAGGAGCTAACAACCAGGTGGGCGTGTTCCACTGTCCCTTCCCTCGTCATGCGACTCCTCGCTCATTTCCGTCACCCCCCGCCTCCTCCGTCCGTGCTGCCTGCCTGTTCGATCCGCGTTGAGCCGCACGCGTGGCGATGTCAGAGGACGCCTTCCTCGGTCGAATGCGTCCCAAATGTGTGACCAGTGCTCCTGCCAAGAACGGCTTAGGATGGAGTGTACATTGAATGTGCAGTCTGCGCGCGCCCGGAATGCGGACGACGGGTGTACACTCCAGCCTAGCTATACGGAGTTCGTTCTACTTGTGCAAGAGCCTTGACTTCTTGCGCAGTCCCGCGAGATCGAGGCTTTGGCTAAGAGTCGCGACCTACAAGCTACCCCTAGTAGAGCGGCTTGCAGCCAATAAGGACGTTTGATGTTGGGATGAGCTGCGCATGCCTTCCGCATGCCACCGTCAGCATATGTATCATCAGTATGGCTAATGCGTCTAAGCCAATCAAGTTGTTGATCATAGTTCCACGCACAAACATGTAACACCATATGCATCCCTGTTGGATGACGTCATACACGTGATGCCACTTTCTGTCATTGTAGTCGCCAGTGTGGTCGCATGGGTGTCGTTTGATGACACTACGAACATGTATTTTTCGATGTATGCATTTCTGACCGTGCACGTAGTTTTCTTGTGTTTGATTGAAATTCCAGTTTTCTGCTCATCAGGATCCCGTCAGGACACCATGCAGACACCATCGGGCCATCCTCAGGGCACCATCGGGTATGGGGGTCACTGCAGGGACACTCGCGGGGCAGCATCGCGGCACCGTTGGTGCAACCTAGGAGCCCTGCCGGGGCTCCCACCAGGACGCTGTCGAAGCATCGCGCGCGCAGCCCGCCATGAGGAGGAGAGTAGGTCCAGGGGGCCCCATGATTTTCCTATTCGACCATTGATCGCCGATGGAGGCCCAACAGGCCAACCCTCCCGAGAACGTGCAGATTCGCTATCGGGGGCCTATCGCCGATCTATCGGCGACGTATCGCTGGTTCCATGTCGATGTTTCCCCCCCCCCCCCCCCCCCCGAGACGGTTCCCCCCCTATCGTTGCCCCTCACAGCAGCAGAAACAGGAAGATTTGCAGCAGTGTGTTTTCATCTGTCCATCGTTGCGGCGTGGGGGCGCAGCTACGCATGCGCGTCACGCACGACACGAACACGAAACTTACGCAGGTTGCGAGAAATCTTTTTGCATGGCGGGAGGGACAGGCGGGAGGGCGTGTGAGAAAGGAAGCGTGAGGAGGGAGAGGGGATTGAAGAGCGAGGAGGAGGCGATGGAGGAGGGAGGGAGGGCCTGAGGATGCGGACCAGGGGAGGAGAGGGAGCAGCAGGTGGAAGAAGAGGAGGAGAAGACGACAGAGAGGGAAGAGGAGGCGCAGGTCAGGAAGTGGGAGGGGAGCACGATTGGCGGGTCTCTCCTCCGTTGAGGGGGGGCGCGCTTGCGCGTGCGCCGTGCGCCGTGCGCCGGCCTCGGCTCGGGCCTCTCGCACTCCGAGCGCCCTGGAGCTCCAGCTCGGGCCCGCGGGGGGCCTGCTCGGATCGTGGTGCCCCCGACGCTGCAGCGCCGAAGGGCACGCTCGCAGGGAGCTCCCGGAGAGCGCACTGCCCGATAGCAGAGGCGGTGTGCGCGAGGGGGGCAGTCTGCCTCCTGCCCTGAGAGCCGACGCTGCAGCAAAACAGAGCCGCAGCATCGCAGCAAGTCACGACCGGAGCCCATCTCTCTGAGATCGCAGCATCGCAGCAAGTCACGACCGGAGCCCATCTCACTGCGCCAGTTCGGGAGCCTTGAGACGGGGGTGAATGCAAACGGGGGTCAGCCAGAGCGCCGGGTCTTGGACCCATTGCAGGATCCTGCAGGGACAGGGTCGCATGGACCCAGGTTTGTGTGCAGGATCCTGTTTGATTTTGCAGGACTGGGACTTGGGCGCAGGATCTTGCAGGGTTTGCAGGATCCTGCAGGGCCTGACTGACCTGGGTCTGGATTGACCCGGGTCAGAAGATCCCCGACCAGTTCTCGAGCCGGAGATCCATCTGTGAGGGCGCCGCGGGGCCCGAAGTGGAGCGAGAGCGCCCGGTGTGAGAACGTTGCAGCGCCAGGATCCCAGACATCCAGCCGCTCCAATTTCTTTGGGTGCGTGGCCCCGGGAAGTCCGGACCACTTCTCCGGGGCGGGCTTTTCGTCCTTGAATCGTTTTTTGACGCCCAAGCCCGCCTGCTCCATTCTTCTTGGGAGCGTCGGATCTCAGGGATCTCGGGGCGCGCGCTGGTCGCCCGTCTCTCGGAGAGCGCAGCCGCGGAGCCCTCGCGGAGGCACGCGCGCGTGCCGGGCCAGGGGGAGGAGGAGGGGGAGGAGGAGGAGGAGGAGGAGGAGGAGGAGGAGGAGGAGGAGGGGCGTCGCGTGATGGGGGGGCGACAAAGTGTGTGTGTTTGTGTGTGTGTGTGTATGTGTGTGTGTGTGTGTTTGTGTGTGTGTGTTTGTGGGTGTGTGTGTGTGTTTGTGTGTGTGTGTGTGTGTGTTTGTGTGTGTGTGTTTGTGTGTGTGTGTGTGTGTGTTTGTGTGTGTGTGTGTGTGTTTGTGTGTGTGTGTGTGTTTGTGGGTGTGTGTGTGTGGGGGGGGGGCGGCAGCCTGGCCAGGGTCGAGCTCGATCGAATTCGAGGTTTTCGGAGGCCGTGTGTGCCGGCAGCCCTCCATGTGGGCGCGCGGGGGGGGGGCCTCCCCGCAGGCCGCTCTCTCTCTTTCTCTCTCTCTCTCTCTCTTTCTCTCTCTCTTTCTCTCTCTTTCTCTCTCTTCCCAGACCCCCTCGAGTCATGAAAAAATCACGTCGATGGTTTTTTCTGCTATTTTCGTCCTCCGGGGGCCCGTGCCGGGCCTCGGGCCGTGAAAAAAACGACTCGGGATGAAAAGCCGGTCCTGGTGAGTGGGTCCGGACCTCTGGGGTTCGCGTCATGCAACAACCATGACGTCGGGGGTCTGGGCCTTGGGTGACCACATGTGAACCCTACCCCCACCTCCCACGATTTCTGAGGGGGTGTGGGGGTTCACTCCGTTCGGGAGCTTTCGAGCGGAGGGAACCCCCACTCCCCCTTCGAAATCGTGGGGTGTGGGGGTAGGGTTCACATATGGTCGCCTAGCTCTCTCTCTCTCTATTGGCGGCGGTCCAGCCTCGGGCTGCCTTCTGGCAGCTGCGCCTCGCCGAGAGCGCTCCGGGGGTGCCCGGATCTTCCCGAAGGGCCGCCGGAGACCCGAGTTATAATGAATCGGGCATGTCCCTACAAGAGGAAAATGCCAAAATAGTCAAAAAATAGTCAGGGGACGTTTTTGTTGACTATTTTTGGCTATGTTAGGGTATGTTTGGGATATTTTCTATTTGTCGTCCAGAATCCGCCAGAATGGGGGACACGCCCGACCTACAGTTATGACCCCCAAAACCAGCGAGGTGCGACATAAACTTTCGGCGCTCCGCGCGGAGTTTTCGGCTCCGCGCTGCCCCCCCCCAGGCGGCGCCTCCAGCCAGCGCAGATCCAAGGAATCCGCGAGGAGCGCCAAACGTTTATGGCAATGGCGTTTTTGTTGTTTTTCTTTTCTAGCGCTCGGATCTCGCGGAGGCTCGCACGCGAGGCCCTCGGGCGGCGTACAGATCTTGGATCCGCGCTGGGCCCCCCCCCCGCGGCGCCTCCGCCGCCGCCCCTGGCGCGCTCCGCGCGCTAGGGAGGGGGGTCCAGCGCAGATCCAAGAATTCCGCGCGGAGCGCCAACACTTTGTTGTTTATGCAGTTGTTGTTTTCTCCTAGTTACCCCCCTCGCTTAGCTGGTGCCCCCCCCCCTTCTGCTACCCCTTGCCCTGGGCATCCGCTGTGTAGCACTCTGGGCGGGAGCCACACGGTAATGCGGTGCAGCAGCTCGGAGAGGAGAGGGTGTGACTGCAGAGTCTCTCGCCGAAGGCCCGCCAGCGCATCCTGAGGGGGGGGGGCAGGTACTTTCAGAAGACTCAGGACATTTTCGTGAGGGACTGCACCCACGGGCTGCTGCCGTTCATTTTGATCTGGACGCTCGTCTACGACATGGCGCACATCTTCTGAGGACTTCGGAGGAGCCGGGGTGGTATGTAGCCCTCGGGCAGGAAGCGCGGAGCGGCCAGGCAGTGGGCAGGATGCTGCCACCTGCGCGGCAGCAGCAGGAGCGGCAGCTGAGACAGGCACCCCAGGGTGACCAGAGAACCGGCTGGGTGAGCGCAGCAGGCAGCATGAGGCGCCTTGCGAGCAGGACAAGCGGCAGAGATCAAGTTGGCAGGGAGGCCAGCTCTGGAGTGGTTCTGGCGATGCTGGGCTGCGAGGAAAGCGGTCGTGGAGGGCGGGAAAACAGTAGGAGCGGGATGCGGAGGAGCAAGATGATGAATGCGAATGGGTAGTCTCTCTGTCGCCTAATTCCTCTCCGCCGCCCTTTCTCTTTTACGCCAATGCTCCTCATCTTCCCGTTGCCCACGCTCCCTCTTCGTCGTCGTCTTCCTCGCTGCACCCGCGCACGGAAGCACGTGCCGGTCACCGCCCGTGTGCTCTCGTGCACCCGGGGGCCGCTGCGAAGCCCCTCGCGGACCTGCCGCAGTTGGAGCGGCGTGCGCCTCCGCGCGCGGGGAAAGACCCGCCGATCCCGCGAGGGCCCGCGCGCGAGGTCGTCGGAGGGCCACCGCGGGGACCCAGACCGTACCTCCTGGCGTCGTGGACAAGACCACGACGGACGTTTGTGGTCGTCTTGAGCCTCTGGGGGAGCCTCTCGCCAGGCTCGGACGGTCCAGAAGTGACCCAGGATGCGAAACCAGCCAGTCTCGGGTCATGGGTCCAGACCCCAGGGGCCCACGGTGTGACAGGAGCCACGACGTCGGAGCTCTGGGGAGTCGTGCCGGCTGCTGCCAGCTCCGCCGGATGGCCGTGTTCCGGGAGGCCCCGGATCATTCGTCAGGAGGTTCCCCTCTCGAGGCCAGGGCTCTGTAGAGCCACGCGTCGGCGTCAGGGGCGGATGAGGAGGAGGAGGAGGAGGAGGAGGAGGAGGAGGAGGAGGAGGAGGAGAGGAGGGGGAGGGAGGAGGAGGAGGTGGAGGAAGGAGGGAGGAGGAGGAGGAGGGGAGGAGGAGGAGGGAGGAGGAGGAGGAGGGGGAGGAGGAGGAGGAGGAGGGGAGGAGGAGGAGGAGGAGGAGGAGGAGGAGGAGGAGGAGGAGGAGGAGGAGGAGGAGGAGGAGGAGGAGGAGGAGGAGAGGGAGGAGGAGGAGGAGGGGGGGAGGAGGAGAAGGAGGAGGAGGAGGAGGAGGAGGAGGGAGGAGAGAGGAGGAGGAGGAGGAGGAGGAGGAGGAGGAGGAGGAGGAGGAGGAGGAGGAGGAGGAGGAGGAGGAGGTGAGGAGGAGAGGAGGAGGAGAGGAGGAGGAGGAGGAGCAGGAGGAGGAGGTGGAGGAGGAGGAGACGAGGAGGGGAGGAGGAGGAGGAGGAGGGAGGGAGGAGGAAGGAGGGGGGGGAGGAGGAGGAGGAGGAGGAGGAGGAGGAGGACATTTTTTTTTTTTTTGACATTCGCTTCGGGGCTGAACTAAAGCTCAAGCACGTTCCGCGGACAGCAACTGACCCCCAGTCCAAGCCTGGGGCGTTGCCAGTTCCGAGTCGGCGCCAAGAACCCAACCCCAGGAGAAAGAGAGGAGGAGAAGGACATGCATGAAACACAACTAGCCCGGGTTAAACGCTGCCCACCTTCTAATGGGCCGTTCCCAGGCCAGAACTGAAACAAAGCAGAACTTCCCCAGAACGGGGCAGAGAATCCCATCCCACCCACCAGTGACCCCCACCCCAGACAAGAGCAATCCCTGAACGCCAACTTGCAGGTTCGGACTTTCGAGCATGGTGAGACCATGGCAAGACCCGCCAGGGAAGGCCACTTGCTTTCGCCTGTGACCTGGCTGCCAATTCCTTGAACTGTCTGGAGGGAGGAAGGAGGGAGGGGGAAAAGAAGGACAAGGGAAGGGGAAGGAGATCAAGACTGCAAAGCACTGGGGTAAACTTTCTTCCCACAAACTAGTGGGAGCCCCTAGCAGAGCGAGACCACCGTTCCCCAAAGGGAAGAGAGAATACTAGGGGATTACTTCGCCAGACTTTCCTGGACCCCTGAAGTAAAATAAACTGGGCTGAATACGGCTGCCCAACTAGCGCATGAAGAGGAAACTGCAGGTAAGCTACCTGCTTCACAGTTCTGCCGATCTGGCCAAGGAAACAAAACGTGAAGGTAAAAGAAACGCTGGGTAGCTGACAACTGTCCTACCCAAACGAAAGGACCAACACAAAAGGATTCTACCAAAACTGTAGCCAAGGAATGATGCTCACTAAGCCAATACTCAAGTTGCCATTTAGCCCAAGATGCAATAAACAAGCTGCCGCTAAAAGAAGGTTGGAAACTACCAACATATTTGCTCCAATTACTTTGAAGAAGTGGAGTCTGAGCTGGATTTGCTCCTCCTAGGAACCGGCGCACTGCCTGAAGCTGCGTTTTGATTCTTAACACGATTTAGCTCCTCCTGGAGAGACTCTAGCTTCTGCTGGAGGTGCTTGATCTTGATATCCTGGAGACCACACTTTAACTCCAACAGTCTTGAACTGGACGGGGCAGAACCACTGGAAGGGGCGGCATCGCTGTGCCCAACCTTTGCACGCTTACTAGCGTGCTCTGGAGAAGTCGAACGAGGACTGTCGACATGTTTACTGGCTGAGGGTGAGTCGGACACGCTGTCGCTGTCCAAAACTGGAAGCTTTTCTTCCTTCTTGGTGATCTGAACCTTTACCCTAGGCTCCACATTGAATTTCTCGCATACTGCCAAATACAGAAACTGTTCTTGCCCTTTGTACTTGTCCAAGAAATGGTCCAACTTATCCAGCATCTGCGGTTCGTACTGCTGGAAGACATCCGAGATCAGGAGCTTGAACTGATGCCTGACTTTGAAATCCTGGCCCTGCTCTCTGTCGGCTTCTACCTGACGAGCGGCCTTGTCTTTGGGATTGGCCTTTACTGCCACAAAAGGAGGCGGTGGCTGCGTCATCTCACTGTCGGCTTCTACCTGAACAGTGGGCTTGTGTTTGGACTGAGACTTCTCCCTGCCAACTACTACCTCAGCACTGATCCTTTCTGTGCGACCAGACTTCGCTGCTGACGGTGGTGGCGGAGGTGGGGGAAGTGGCTGGGAACTCTTCCCATGCCACGGAAGGCCGCACTTACATAACGGCTGAGAAGCAATTCTATTAGGCCAGATCCAACAGTCTGGTCTGCCACGCGGGCAAAGTAACTTTGAATGCGAAACAACAGGAGCTCCTACTCCTTCTTTGCGAACCCAAGGCGTCCTGGAAGACATGGCGGAAACTGCGGCGCGTGGGTGAAGGAGAAAAGGGGGGCAGGCTGCTCCTGCCCAGCTGGCTTGAGAGCCAAAATGGCTTGAGCCAAAATGGCTACGGAGGAGGAGGAGGAGGAGGAGGAGGAGGAGGAGGGAGGAGGAGGGAGGAGGAGGAGGAGGAGGAGGAGGAGGAGGAGGAGGAGGAGGAGATGGAGAAGGATGAGGAGCAAGCGGAGGAGGAGGAGGAGGAGGAGGGGAGGAGGAGGAGGGAGGAGAGGAGGAGGAGGAGCAGGAGGAGGAGGAGGAGGAGAGGAGGAGGAGGAGGAGGAGGAGGAGGAGGAGGAAGGAGGAGGAGGGGGAGGAGGAGGAGGAGGAGGAGGAGGAGGAGGAGGAGGCCTGGGAAGTCTGTGCACCTCGCCTGCCAGGATTTTTCAGAGGGAGCGCGCGGTCTTCGGTGCCGTGTCCCCAGTCCACTGCGCGGGCCATGCCGAGGCCAGTTGAAGCGGGTGGGCCACACGGGTTCCCAGACCCCCTCGAGTCACGAAAAAATCACGACGGGAGGTTCTCCACTATTTTCGGCATCTGGGGGCCCTCACTGGGCCTCGGGACCGTCAAAAAGCGACTAGGGATGAAAAGCCGGTCCACGGGGAAAGGGTCTGGACCTTTGGGGTGCGCGTCGCGTCATGGAAAAATCATGACGTCGGGGGTCTGGGTTCGGGTGCGACGTAGAATCACATGCGATTTCCCCCCCCCCCCCCGAACCCCTGACGTCATGCTTTTTTCACGACGCGACCCCCGGAGGTCCGGACCCATTCCCCGGGACAGGCTTCTCATCCTGAGTCGTTGTTTGACGGTCCCGAGGTCCAGTAAGGGCCCGCAGAGGCCGAAAATATGGAAAAACCTCCCGTCGTGATTTTTTCATGACTCGAGGGGGTCAGGGACCCGCGATCTCCGCCCTAAAAGTTTGGCCGCTCAGAAAAGGAGGGCGGCCCGGGATACACCCCAAGGGGGCAGTTCGCACGCACCCCTATCGAGGATGGACGCCCCCTCCCGTGGATCCCAGGGTTGGGCCCCAAGTTGTTGGTCCAGTCGAGAGCCTCCCAAAGCCTGGGACCCAGACCCCTCGAGTCATGAAAAAATCACGTTGGGAGGTGTTTCGCTATTTTCGGCCTCTGGGGGCCCTTACTGGCACTCGGGACCGTCAACTAAGCGACTCTGGACGAGAAACCGGTCCTGGGGAATTGGTCGAGACCTCTGGGGGTCGCGCCATGAAAAATCATGACGTCGGGGTTCTGGGGACAGGGGTCGACATAAACCCCCTGTTATAGAAAGAAGGAGACGGGAGAAATCAGGCTGAGGAAGGCTCTCTTCCCCTAACCCCGCCATGAAGCGTACTCACATCAAGGCGGGGTCAGGGGAAGAGAGCGATGTGCGCGATGCCCGATGGATTCGACGCTGAGCGATGGATATGTACAGTGCTGGGCGGCGCGCGCGATGGCCTGATCGAGGCAAGATGGAGGATGAGGAACTGAGGCGTCGAAAAGGGTGGGGAACGGATCGCAAATGGGTGTGCGTCGTTCCCCATCCTCCTCCCTCTGACCCCCCCACACGTGCGCCACCTCATCGTCGATCGTTCCTCCCCGCAGAGTGCGGGCAGTGACCTCCTCTTTCCCTTGTTGAGCGCAGACAGGAGCTACCCAGGGCTGGACCCCTGCGCCGTGTTGCT